GCCCCGCCTGACCCCGCGCCCACGCGCCCCCTGCGGTGCGCCCCGGAGGCCCCCCCACCAGGGTGCCCACCTGCATCGTGAGGCACCAGAGTGCCGGCCTTGGCCCCAGAGGCAGCTGGGACAGAACACCCTCCTGGTCACCCCTCTGACGTCCGAAGGCCCCTTCGTCCGCCCACCCTGCCTGGCCAGTCCCGGTCAGGGCTGGCCATCAGCCACGGCGACGAGGGCAGCCACGCGCACCGCGCCCTCACTGGGGCCCGGCCCGAGCGCCGTCCTTCCCGGGGCGGATGCCCACCTGGGCCTGCGCCCCTCCTGCCCGGAGGGCCTGGCGAGGCCGGCGGTGTCCCTGCCGCGGGTCCCGGACGGTGGCCAGCCTGAAGGGCACCCCCAGCCGGGTCCCCCTGCGGCGGCCGCCCCTGGGGCCGAGGCGGCTCTGCGGCTTCCTGTGGCGTAAACAGGAAGGAGGCAGTCAGAGGTGCCCAAGGGCGGGGTGCCCCTGCGCCCCCAGGCCGGGGCCTGCTCCTCGCCGCACCTCCCGTGTCCGCCAGGAGGGGATAGGCCAGCCGGACCCCAGGCAGACGCTGGCCTCACACCTGCTGGCCGCTGCCCCAGCGCCCACTTCCCAGGCCAGGCCTGGGCCGCTGCGCCAGCAGCACCGGCGGCTCACGGGCCCCTGGACACCACCCTGAGACGAGGGGACCTCCCAGCGGACGCGGGGAGGAGGGCAGCGCGGGCCAGCGGGCAGCGCATGGACCGTGAGCTGGCTTTCCAGAAGGGAGAGAAACAGCACTTTGTCCAAAGTCCCCCAGAGGTCGTCTGGGCGGCCCCTCGGGTTAGGGTGAATGAGAGAGATCTGGAGGCGGCAGGCTGCGTGAGAAGGGGCTCAGGGCAGGGCGGGGCGCGGGGTCTGCGGACGACGCCGAGCGGCCCGCGCGGCCCTCACCTGGGCAGTGGGCTGGGGGGGGCGGCCGCCACCTTACAGTTTGGGCCTGTGCCTTCGCGCCTCCCCCAGGGCCCCCCCTGCAGCTGCTGGCGGGCTCCCAAGGGGCCTGGCCCCAGGCCCCACTGGGGAGGTGCGGCCCCCCAGCAGCCAGGCCTCCGGTACAGCCCCAGGCCACATCCGGCCCCTGCACCTGAGCTCCGTGGCTGCTTCCGCCCAGCCCCCCGCTGCGCCCTCCGCGTGGCCAGTGGGGCTGGGCAGCTGAGGCAGCGCCCCCAGAGGGACTGCGCCCGTCCCGCCCAGGCCGCGGGAGCCCGCAGGGGCCGGGGGTGCGGGTGGGGGCTGGGCGCCTCGAGGGGTGCTGCCTGGGGGGAGGGCGGGGACAGCGCTCTCGCGCCAGGCCCAGCTGGGCCCCACCGAGTGGCCGTCCTGAGCCACCCGACTCGGGCCACCTTACCTGGGCGCAGGTGGGCAGCGCGTGCGTGGGGCTGCCGAGGGCCGTGCCTGGCGCGTCCAGGCCGGTCTGCGGGGCGCTGTCGCACTTGAAGTACTTCCGGGGCGGAGGCTTGGGCTTGCAGGATGTGGGCTTTCGCACCAGAATCTCAGAGGCCCTCGGCCTCCTCCGGGGTGCCGGGCCGTCCCGGCCGGCGGGGAGGGGCGGGCTGTCCAGGGGCAGCCTCGAAGGCCCTCCGGGCGTCGCGGGGGGCCACTGTCGAGGCTCCTGCCCCGCGGGCCGACCAGCGCCGAGCGCAGCCCCGTCCAGCTCCGGGGGCCGCTGCTCGCCGCCGCTGCTGGGGCTGCCCCGGGGGGACCCCGGCAGGTGGCTGTCTTCGCTGCTGGAGTGGGCCGCGGCCTGGGCCCCACGCTGCGCCGGCGCCGAGCTCCTCTCTCTCTCCTTCCCCGGGGCCGGCCGCCCGTGCCAGCTGCTGTCCAGTCTTTTGACACCTGTTGGCAGAGTGCAGAGGCCCCATGATGGGCAGCAGGCCCCCCAGGTCAGGCCCAGGCCCCGTACCCCACCAACCCCCGCCGGCGCCAGGCCCGGGCAGCACGCGGCTCACGCACATGGACACTGAAGGCCTCCGCACCCCAAGCCGCCCTGCACAGGTTTCTGAGGCCGGGGAGAGCGAGTCTTGCCCCCCCCCCCGCCACCCCCAAAACCACACGGAGGCCCGTTGCCCTGGGCAAGGTGCAGGAATCGAGCAACACCCGCGGTGCAGGAGCGCGCGGCGGCCACCAGAGGGCGTCACTCCGAAGGGGCCGCTCGGGAGCAACCGGCAGCCCCCGGCCCCTGCCGCGGCGCCACCTACCTTCCAGGCCCCACGGGGGCCGGTCCCTGCCCAGCTGCCCGTGCTCCGCGGCCTGGGCCACGGCCTCCTGCAACAGCTGTTCGGACACCTGGAGGAGCAGCAGCCACTCAGACACCGGGCGAGGCCAGCCTGGCCTCCTGCCACCTGCCTGGCCTCCAGACCTGTCCTCTGGGGTGGCCCTGCCGCCCTGGGCCCCTCCCCCGCTCTGCCCGCCCCC